ACAATGCCCTATTACTCACAAAACGCGAAGTACCGGTTGGCGAGGCTATGGTAATGATGCAGTCTTTCATTGCTCCGGCTCAGGTCCATTTTCAGTGTCCTGGAGAGGCCGGGCAGCATGGAAATGCATATGGGAAGGAGAGCTGATGCAGGCAATAAAGAATAAGCCACAGTGACTGGAAGGCATAGGGACGAGGGAGCAACATGCTGGCGTATCCATGTAGGTTGTGGCGCATCCACAGAACGGGCATGTGGTCTCACGCCAACCACCACTCATTGCACTGCACGCACTCAGATGCATGATAGCATTCACTGAACGGGCATGTGATCTCACGCCAACCACCACTCACTGCAGTGCACGAATTCACATGCGTGATAGCATTTACTGAATGCGATCGTGTCGCCAACTAGTCACTGCATTGCATGCTCTTGCACGCACCGCCTTGCATGTACTTGCTGCGCATTATTTCGCATCTCATCCATCCTGCATTGGTCCCTCAACTCAGCATTCTCCATCTGCAAGGCCTCCATCTTTGCATCCTCTACTGCAAGGGAGGGACGGGGGTAGAAAGAGAGTGTGGGGAAGATTGAGGAGAAGACAAGCCACCAAAATAAGGGGAGGGAGTGGGAACAGAGTGGATGAAAATGGGGGAAAAAGGGGCGGGGAGAAAGAATGGAGAGAGATGTGATGAAAAAGGGGGAGGTTGTGGGTAAAGCATGGGGATGATGCTTGGAGTCATCATGGAAGTCGGAGTGAGACCACTTGATTTCAGAGGATACAAGCACAAGATGAGCAAGCTGAGCCTCATGCAAAGTGGAAGCGCACCTTCGCAGTGGCCCGCCACTCGTTGGTCTATCTCATCAATGGCTTGCTGCAGTTCTTCCAGCGCGCAGAACGTACGAGCAGCGCGAAGCGTATGTGAAGCTCTTCATTCTCCTGCTCCAGCTCCGCCATATGCTGTACCCTCTGCACACAGGTGATGGGCTCAGCCATGGACGACGAGTGGCGCACACAGGTGTTCTCGCCAGGAAATGAGGGAGAACAAGCGCAACAGCAAAAAATCATATCAAATAGGCATAACGGGCGATCTTACTTCTCGAATGGCATCTTTGTATCGTTCACACTGGTCATAGCCTGCACCAGTCTAATAACCCTTGCCCTTCTTTCCCATTGCTCCGGCCTTGTTCACTCCACCACCTCGAGGTGCGGCACCACCCTCTGACTCCTCCGTGGATGTTTCTTCAAGCCCTGCTCCGGCAGATGCATGCTGCTGCAGTTGCGGACGTTCTCGCTCACTCCGCACCTGAGCCTCACGTGCCGTTCACTTCCTGGTCTTGCCTTGAGCAAGTGTCTCAGCGCTTCCCCCCCGCATTTCCCGCAGACATATTTTTGCCGTGGACATAGTTTTGACCTTGTTCCTTGCCTGAGCAGCCATCACGCCCGCCTCGTTCTTGCAATCGGCCATGCTACTAGTACTGTGCAGATCGGAAAAGAAAGTGTGCCTTGTGAGGACTCCCCAAAGCCGTCACAGATTATAAAGGATCACAGCTTATAATTCTATACTAATCCAAGTAGCCAGAAATGAGTGGCACGCGGATGATAGCTTCTTCGGAAAGGAGTAAGCTGGCAACACGCTTCTCATGTATTTGTGGCAGGAATTTCGCAAGCTGGGAGTGACACAGGTTGGCAGAGAAGCTGAACTCGAGAGAAGAGCAAGAGGAGGCTGCAAACCGCAATTTTGCAATTCCAGGCCCCGACAAACTTAGCACAACTTGGACAGAGTCGGCATGAACCTAGGTCGAAGCGAGCTGACAAGGGTCGATGAGATATCAAGGCGACACCGTGCGAAGCACACTTCGCATGTCTTGCAAAGCTTGCTTGACCGAGCCTAGGGAGAGCTGAATCCCACCAAGTACAGTGACGGAAACAATTGTCTGGATGTTTTGCATTAATTACAATTTTTGAGTTTTTTTACCACTCTACATAAAGTCTTAATATTTAATAGTGGTACGCTCTGGGAGGGGCAAATAGTGGATGTGTTTACAGCGCTAAATTCCATAATAGTACACTGGATATAACTTAGTTCCAAAAGATATACAAAGAGTACATCCGGACAATTATTTCCCAGGACAAAGAGTAAACTTCGAAGCAACATTTCTAGTACGTAGTCCACCAACACATGGCCTTGATAACTACCTGCACCCTCCTAGGCATGTTATCTACGAGTTTAGTGCAAACCTTTACAGGGATCTTCTCGCACACTTCCTGGACCCACCCTTTTGCATAAGGGGGTGAGCACTAAGAAAATCGCGAAGTATTTGAACGTATGCAAGAGTATTGTGCACGATTTCATATTGAATGTTATCTCTAAGACTAGCCACGCTGAGGTGTGGCCAAAGATGTCATAAGGCCAAGCCGGTTCCCACTCCCCTGCAGACCGACCACCAGCTTGCCCCTCCTCCTGCTCCCTCCTCCTCTGACCATCCTTACACTGAGCTCGTCGGTTCGCTGATGTACACTATGATGTGCACCCGCCCCGACCTTGCCTGCCCCATCAGTGTTCTTGCTCGCTTCGTCGGTACCGGTCGCCACACTGATGAGCACTGGGCTGCAGCGAAGCGGGTACTCCGCTACCTCCGTGGTACCAAGGACTATGTCCTCACCCTCGAAGGCTCTTCTCCTTCCCTCCTCTCTGGCTTCAGTGACTCCTCCTGGGCTGACTCACAGCCCGATCGCCGTTCCTCTCAAGGCTACGGCTTCACCCTTGGCAGCGGCCTCATCAGCTGGCGCTCCACTCGCTCCTCCTCCATCGCCCTCTCATCCTGCGAGGCTGAGCTCTATGCTTGCACCATGGCCGCTCAGGAGGCTCGCTGGCTCACCTTCCTCCTTGCTGAGATCAGTGCTCCTCAGCGCTGTCCCACTCTCTGGTGCGACAACGCCAGCATCATCCATCTTACAAAGGACCCTGTCTTCCATGGCCGCTCCAAGCATATTGAACTCCGCTACTCCTTTGTTTGGGAGTAGGTCCAGCAAGGTCACTTGGTGGTCCGCAAGATCGCTGCAGAGGCCAACTTGGCCGACATCTTCACCAAGGCCCTCCCGAAGACCGCGCACTCTGCCCTCCTCCGCCTTCTCGGCCTTGGGCCCCGCCCCCCTTCCTGATTGGGGGGTTGTACCCTACACATACACTAGCTTTGCATGCTATGGGGTTTTGTTAGAATATACCATGATATGCTAGTTGTGTATATTATGTTTACATCCCTTGTTGGGTGTACACCTGTGTTGGGGTGTCAATCCAACCCAATTGTGGTTGGAAGCCCCCAAACACAAGGACAACAATTGTGGGGGCACCACAAGTGGGTTTCTTAAGCCACTAGTGGTCCACCATACTTGGACCACCTCCCACTTGTGGTCAACCACATTTGGAAGGATCCTCCCTCCCTTGTGATTGGTCCTAACCCCCCCTTCCCTTCCAACCTTCCCTTCCTAGCTCATCTCTCTCTTCCTATGTAATGCGTTTCCTTCATCAACAAACTGAACCTTTCTGTTTCTAACAATGACTACTCTTTGGGTGCTCCTTCACCTAGCCGCACAGCGTGATTACGAGCTTCACTCACTCGACTTCTCCACAGCCTTCTTGCAGGGTAGTCTGCACGAGCAGATCTACCTGCGGTGCCCACTAGGCTTCTTTGGGTCCTTCTCGCCTGGGACCGAGTGGAGCCAGCGCTGCCCTGTCTATGGCCTGCATCAGGCACCTAGTGAGTGGCACAATACGCTCTACACGACACTTACCTCTCTGCAGTTCTTTCCGGCTTATGAAAACCTCTCACTCTTTGTCAATACTGGTCAGACCCCGTTCTACATCCTAGTATATGTAGATGATCTTATCTTTGCTACTCCTCACACAGACGCATTGGCCTTCGTGAAGGCCAAGTTACTTAGAAGGTACACCTACACTGACGTGGGGGAGCTGAGACACTATCTGCACTTGGAGATCTCTCATGACAGTGCAGCTCGCACGATCACACTCTCCATGTCCCATGTGGTGCAGCAAATCCTTCAAAGGTTTAGTCTCCACTTCTCTTCAGCATAGCCCACCCCTCTCTCTGTGGACCTCAAGCTCCCTGCTCCTGTTCCAGCTGAGCCGGTCAAGGCTAGTGGTTCAAACGCAGAGCTGGTGGGTTTCCTGATGTATCTGTTGACGTGCACTCGACCAGATCTAGCGTACTCTCTCAGTCTCCTTGTTCACTTTGTGGCGACATTCAGGAACCAACCAGTCCACTAGTCAACTGCCAAGAGGGTATTGCAGTATCTGGCAAGTACAGTAGGACTGGGGCATGTACTAGGTTGACGGGAGCCAGTGGAGCTCACTGGACACACAGACGCATCGTGGGCTGACGATTTGGAGACCCTCAGTGCCTCACAGGGCTATTGCTTTAGTCTTAGTTCTGGTGTAGTCTCGTAGAGGTCCACTAAGTCATTGTCTGTAGCTCACTCGAGTTGTGAGGCATGGATCGACGCATGGGCCATGCCTGCTCAGGAGCTGCGTTGGCTGTCGTTCCTGCTCACTGATTTAGGTGAGGCGCCTAGCTCTGCCCCGATCCTATTTGCTGACAAAAAGGCCATGCTCCTCCTGTGTCAGGAGGCTCGACTAGAGGGCAGGGCGAAGCACATCCAGCTGCGGTACTTCCTGCTGCATGAGTTACAGTAGCGCAGTCAGGCTCATGTAGTACAGGTGGCCTCAGAGGCCAACACTGCTGATATCTTCACCAAGGCACCAGTGCCTCGTTACCATAAGCGGTTCTGTACTGAGCTTGGTTTAGTCTTAGTTGCATCTACACTCCTTGTATCTTCATATATACTATACCGGCTTGTACTTGCTGTGCTGTACCTGCATGCCTTGCTATACTTGCTGACTGGCCTTGTGGCCTCTTGGCTTAGGATCAGACTAGTAGTGCTGCCCTGAGTTGTCTTGTTTCCTTCACCGGAGGTCAGACTAGTAGTGCTGCATGGTGTGCTCTACCTTGTTATAAACTGCCAGTATCGAGCCACGGGGGTGTATTTACAAAATATACATGTCTTTGTTTGTTAAGTTATATTTGTTATAGCCTAGTTGGGTCCGTTCTTAGAGGGTACAACCCCCACTCTTGTACTCTCTCAACATTTTCCGTGTCAATTTTTCATGCGCTATTCTGACACCAAGTACTACCCAAACGTGATGAGGATGTGGTAGGCGCTGGCGGTGTTGCCCTTGAGCACCGTCGAGTGCAAGCGCGGATTCTCGAGGTAGAACATCAACAACAGGTGGCATCGTACAAGCCTGTGCGATGCCACCCTTGGTGACTTGATGACAATCAACATGCTGGTCTACGACATGGACTGGTTGCAGATCGTGGAGAAGTGGAGGTGCTTTAGGCACCGTAGGCAAACTAGAAATGATGAATATGAACAGGAGATTCCCCTCTTCCCACAGCAGTAGGATGCAGTAGTTAGCTCAGAGGATGAGAGTGCCATAGGTGGGAGTGATGAGGATGAGGATGATGATGATGATGATGATGATGATGATGATGATGATGATGATGATGATGATGATGATGATGATGATGATGATGATGATGATGATGATGATGATGATGACGACGACGACGACGACGACGATGTTGATGATGATGATGATGATGATGATGATGATGATGATGATGATGATGATGATGATGATGATGATGATGAGTAAATCATATATTGCTACGCTATGCATCATTGCCATAACAACTTCTGGGGGAAGTACTATACTTTGTGTAACCAACACTGTCTCACCAGAGTGGGAGAAAATACCACTCTGACTTGCCAGAGTAAAAATCTTGACATCATATGGGTTACTCTAATGCCTCAGTAAAAATGTGGAGGACCACTTTGATTTCTAGAGTAGTGGTGAAAGTCACATCCAGATTTCATAGCAGTGAAAAATCAAATTTCAGCACTGAATTGCGGTAAGGGTGGCACGAGATTCCAAAAAAGGGGTGCGATTATAATGAAATATCATATATAAGCGCATTTGGACTGCATAAGCCCAATGGCTGTACTTGTTTCCGGGTATATACGGTATAGGCTTGCCATCTATTACCGTATACACCTGGATATAAGCGCAGCCATAAACCTATAAGTGAAAACGCGCTTATATCTGTTAATTTCATTATAAGCGCACATTTTTTTAGGATGCGTATGTTAGTCATTACCGAGTGTATACGGTATATCGTAAGTCAGTCATTCCACAACTCGTTATTCAGAACACCTTTTGTAACTGTTAAAGCGTGCGCCCCAAGTAAGACCAAGATTCAAAGTCTTTAAATATTGGTCAGGCAGGCGGGCTTCACCGAGTGTGTAGCGAAACAAAAAAAACAGCTAGGGGCAGTGGCGAAATGGATAGGCCTCGCGAGTGGGAGTGGGGCGACGCTAGGCAACGGGAGAGGCAATGAGGTTGGAAAAGAAAGGGGGCGCGTTCAAATTTCGAACCAGCCGTACATAGAAATGAGACTTCGTTCAACTGGCCAACGACGAAAGGCCAAACACAGCCCCAAGGTGCAAGCCATAATAAACGAAGAAACCTGGGAACACCCCCGAGCGCCCCAACCTGTCAGTAACCAGAAACAGTTTTGTAAGGAATTTTCCATTCCTTAGCGCGCCACAATGCTACCGCGTACATCAACCCCACACGGCACTGACATCTACCCTAGCTTCGGCCCAAACTCGGCACCAAACTATTTCCGCATCACTCCGAAGTGCTCCTCATCCTCGGATGTCTTCTACGAACCTGTTTGATCGTGCGGCTAGGATTGCTCTGGTGTTCCTATATCTTGCCTTGTCATTCCATTATACGACATTCTGTTATTCTGAACCTCGACATTCGATTCCGCGCTACTCTGATTGAGTATACATAACATCTGGTATTCAGAGCTACTTTCTTGACCTACCTGCTTCCGTAGGCGGAAAAAAAATATCGGGGGGGAGGAGTGATTCGCTCACTGAGCTGCAAAGTGGTCGGCCGCGAAGTAGACGAATTAATTCGCCCAACTACGATAGCGTTTGCGCTCTTACATGAGCACGGGTAATCACAGATTTTCCCGTGCCCACCTGGCATTGTGTCCGCCACATGGACCAGGCACAGTGTGACGAGTTGGTGGCAAAATTCGCTGCCACTGAGGCTCGCTTAACAGCTGTGCTAGACGACAACGACAAACTTTGCGCCAAAGTTACCGAACTTTGCCAGGCGCAAGAAGTCACCCGCCCCTGAGGAAGCTGCCATCACGGGACGTGTCGAAACAATCTCGGACGAAATCGCACACGAAGTGTCGCAGGAGCGCTGTGATGATGAAGTAGCAGCAGCAACGAATGCTGCCGCACGTGCCATGGCAGCTGCGACAACGGCCGCCGCCCACTCCGAAGCAGTAGCAACAGTTTCTGCAGCAGCCGCAGCCACACCAACTGTACCAGTGGCCAAGATAAAGCCGCCGATGCTGCCCCCGTTTAACCCCATGGACAAAAGCATCACCATCATGGGCTGGCTTTTCATGATGGAGCTTTATTTTGCTGCCGTCAGAATTACTGTTGATGATTTAAAAATCAAACCCGATGTTTCACTACATAGGGGACGTGCATTGGATTGGTGGCGATCGATGCTAAGTGAGACGGGGACTTTGGCAGGGAACACTCAGGGGTTTTTCGGGAGTTCAGAATCTGCTGCCCGGGATGCAACATCAATTTTCGGATCGACCGCAATTCGCACGTAGAAAGCGTGGGGTACAGCTCAGTGTGAATGCTTCGAGCCCATATTTGCCTTGGATAACGCATGCACAAAGCTGGACACCAGGTGCCAGCTGACCTCTGTCCAGGATGACGCGTCATCATTTCAAGCACTGTGCGACCAAATCAGCGACCTATCAGAAGCCGAGAAAATGAACCAGTTCATCGTTGGACTCAAATCCGACGTTCGCTACGAAGTGAGGATGCGACGTCCAGCAACGTTCCAAGAAGTCGTGGTGATTGCCAGCCTATACGACGTCAATAAAAAAATATGCGAGATCAGGTTCCCGGGAGGGAAATCGTTTTCGTGGCCAGGATAAACGGCCCTGGATCAACGACATTGTGACGAACGACGAAGTTCGCAGGGAAGCGACAGTGTTTTCACTGCCACCAGCTGGGTCACCGATATGCTGACTGCCCTGACCAGAAGCAGAGGAAAAACAACGATGGGGATAGGCCAGAAAATGACTCTTGTCAGTAGCAGACGGGCCCCCTACTGACACGGCTGCATCATCCGAGAAATACTATCTCTATCGGGTAGTGGTACCGGTACACGCTATCGACCGCTCTCGGATGAATAACGGGGATGAACTTGAGGATCATCCTGTGCCGGTAGAAGGAAGGGTTAACGGCAAAAAAATGAAAATCTTCATCCATGGTGGCGCGAGCCACAGCCTGATTCACCGACCGACGGAAAAAAAAAAAAAAAAAAAAAAAAAAAAAAAAAAAAAAAAAAAAACTTACCCCTGGAGCGGTGCCTGCCCGAGCTCGATGCCCGATTGGTCGACGGCATCCCGCTGGCAATACGCGATCGTGCGCAAACTGTTCGCATGAAGGGTGGTGACAATTTCGGCTCCAGCGCGCCAATATTGGCAACAACACTCGACGGCTACGATGTGCTGCTGTGACGAGATTGGCTTCGGCGACACAACCCGTAGATCAATTAGACGTCAGGCCAGTGCACAGCCCAGTGTGCAAATGGTCGGCAGATACTGCCAAGATGTCGAGGAGCAGAGCCGATAATGAAACACGTCAACGCCATCACACTGACATGAGCGATTAAGAAAGGCGCGGAATTATATGCCGTCCATCTGAAGGAATCGACGGACGACGATCAACCGACCGACATCGATAAGCTCTGTGCAGCGGTCCCCGAAGATCTGGCAAAACTGATTCGTCAGTTCCCATACATTTTTCCGGTTGACCTGCTATCTGGCCTACCACCTGAACGCCCTCAGGACCATCGGATTGAACTCCAGTCTGGCGCGCAGCCAACTGTCTGGACACAATGGCGGCTGACGCAGCCTGAGCTCCAGGAACTACAAGACTAGCTAGACTATTTGCTGGCCAAAGCGTTCGTTCAACCTAGTACGTCCCTGTTCGCCACCCCGATCTTATTCACACCCAAGAAGCATGGGGGCCTCCGAATGTGCATTGATTATCGTGCCCTTAATCGGGTTACGATAAAGTCTCGCTACCCAATCTCACGTGCGCACAAACTGATGGACCAGCTGCGAGGTGCTCGCTATTTGTTGAAGATCGACCTTCACGGCAGTTACCACCAGATTCGAGTCTTCGCCGACGATTGCCACAAGACCGCGTTTCATACTCGCTAAGGGAGTTACAAATACATTGCCATGCCGTTCGGGTTAACAAATGCCCCCTCGACGTTCCAACTAACGAAGAACGGTGTATTCCGGGATCTACTCGAAAAATGTGTGATCATTTATGTGGATGACATCCTGATTTACAATACAACACGGGAGCAGCGCTTAAAGGATCAGGAAGTGGTTTTTCAGCACCTGCAGCAAAATCTTCTCATCACCAAAGGCTCAAAGTGCACGTTTTTACAACCCAAACTAGAGTTTTTGGGGCATGTTATTTCGACGGAAGGCGTGAAAATTGACCCCCACAAAATTAGGGCAATTCAGGAATGGAAGCTACAGACCAACCTCCAGGAGCTGCAATCGTTTTTGGGGTTCAGCGCAAGAGAAGCTTGCTCGTTCCAACGCACGAAGTCGATGGCCGGTGGCTCTTCAAGGTGAAGCACCCTCCTGGAGAGCCGCATGTGTTCAAGGAGTGCTACGTGGCTCGAGGCTTCAGTAATCGCGAGGAGGTGGACTTCTTTCAGACCTTCGCCCCGACCCCGAAGATGACTACTCTTCCGGCGCTGGTATACGTAGCAGCACTGCGTGACTACAAGCTCCACTCCCTCGACTTCTCCACTGCTTTTCTTCAGGGCAGCCCACATGAGCAGTTCTACTTGCGCCGTCCTCAGGGCTTCAACGGTACCTTCCCGCCAGGGACCCAGTGGCTCCTTTGGTGCCCGGTCTACGGCCTGCGACAGGTGCCCCCTGAGTGGCACGACATGCTGCGTGCTACGCTAGCCAGCCTGCAGTTCTTTCTGTCCTCTGCAGACCCCTCGCTCTTCGTTCGTGCTGGCGAGACTCCGTTCTACATTTTTGTCTACGTAGACGACCTGGTCTTCACTACTGCTGACAGAGACGCACTGGCCTCCGTGAAGGCCGAGCTGCTGAGGAGGCACACCTGCACTGACCTAGGCGAGTTGCGCTGCTACCTTGGCCTGCAGATCTCCAGGGACAAAGCAGGGCACACCATCACTCTCACACAGTCACACTTGGTGCGCCAGGTTCTTCAGAGGTTCGGTCTTCTGTTCTCCTCAGCACAGCGTACACCTCTGCCAGTAGACCACATGCTCTTAGCTCCTGTTCTTGAGGAGTTAGTTGAGCCCAGTGGTCCTTATGCAGAGCTGCTGGGTTGCCTCATGCACCTGATGACCTGCACTCGTCCAGATCTCGCATACCCTCTCAGCATCCTGGCTTGCTTTGTGGCCTCAGGCAGACATCGACCACAGCACTGGTCGGCCGCTAAGAGGGCTTTGCGTTATCTAGCAAGTACATCGGGCTTGGGGTTAGTGTTGGGAGGACGTAGACCAGTG